CACCCCTCCACCCCGGTCCTCTAGCAGTGTATTCACAGAGTCTGAATGTCAGCGATCTGCCGATGAAAAGCCCTCTCGACCTTGCCACCCCATCTTCCATCTTCCCAGAAGCCAGACTGCCCTGCCCGGCTGGCCCTGCTGGCCTCCTGCCCCTGCTCTTGTTTCCTGGTGAACGCTGGCTCTGTGTTGCCTCAAAGCTGTGGGGACGCTGGCCTTAGTGGCAGGTGCTGTGGCAGGGAACGAGTTTTTCCTGAAAGAGCCCAGTCCTGTTGAGTCAAAGGGCCCATTGTGAGCTGCCTGTGGCTGAGCCTTTCTCAGCAGCTGGAGGCGGAAGGCCCAGCTCCTGGTGGAGGCCGCCTGGAGAGGAAAAGCCCAGCAGGCAGCCCGGGCACAGGGCGAGGGCACTTGGCTGGAGGGAGGGGGAGGTCATCAGATTTTTGTGCCAGCTTCTGTGCTAAGTGCTGGGCCATGAAGATAAGTCTGACCTTGTCCTTGTCTTGGAGGAGCTCGAAGGTTTTCGGGTGAGGCAGACCTATGAACAAGGTTGATGTGACACTCAAGTGTTAGGATCCGGAAGTGCAAGAAGGGCTCCAGGACCACGGGGCAGGGAATAACTGACTGCCTGCGGAGTCACCGAAGCAGAGACTTAAAGGCTGCATAGGAGGTGCCGCTCACTTCCGGGTCTGTTGTCCCGGGCAAGCCATTTTTCTCATTCACAAATAGTTATGGGGCGCCTACTGTATTCCAGGCGCTGTGCATGTACGTATAGTATACCATAGTATATACTACACTGTGAGTAGAGTAGTGAACAAAGCAGTGAGCAAAAACATTCCTGTCACTCACCGAACTTATCTTCCAGTTGGGAGGAGAATGAAAATTTTTAAATAAAGCATATTTTATGGAGTTTAGAAGGTAGTAAGTGCTGATGGAGACACCTAGAGCAAGAGAAGGGGATGAGAGTGCCAGGGGTTAGGTAGTAATTTTTCTTGTGTGTATATTTTGTGTAAGTATAAAAGAAAACAGTTAAATGATTTAATATATGATCATATAAGTTTTATAAATGGAATGACAGTGACAAGCCTTGCTGTGAAGTTGACCACACGTGGCCACCTGTGGAAAAGGAAGCTCTTCATTGAGTGGTAAATGGTTGATCATGTCCCTAAATTTACTGTTGGGCTTTGTCTCTCCTTCCCTTCTCTTATGCTCTTTTCCCTGCTTTCTCTAAAGACCAAGCTGCCTGAACTAATTTTAATAATGAGTGACAGAGAAAGGAAGGAGGGAGGAAGGAAAATGAGGTTATGATTAGGTGCAAGGTTAGAGAATGTAGAGTTGCTTATCTGCTTAAAGAGAGGAGAAGTCCCACCAAAAGATCCAGAAAAATGGCTGGTTGCAGGTGGGAACAAGGCAAGTACCTGGTGAACCTGGAACATCGCATGCCGGAAAGCAAGATGGCACTCACCCAAATGGGGTCATAGCAAAGGACCCAGAAGCTGGTTTGAAAGTGGTCTCACTGCACTGGCAAAATTGGAACCACTTTACATCAAAACTTACAACAAACTTTACAACAAAATTCCATCAGAAAGTGATGACAGTAATGGGCTTTGACACATTGAATAATTAAAAAAAAAAAAGATTCAGTAGTTTACAGTAATCATCAGAGATTTAAAAAGCAAAAGCTCTTTTATAGAACTTCAACTGACAAATTTGGAAAGTCCCTATTTTATAACCCCAGGTTGGTCCCTTCGTGGATGCAAAGACTAGTTAGTGGAAGGTTATTGTAGAGCAGTATTTTCACATGGCCCCAGAGTATCACCTCATAGATTACTTTCACTTCCACACTCAAAACACACAGGGGCGCCTGGGTGGCCAAGTCGGTTAAGCATCCGACTTTGTCTCAGGTCATGATCTCACAGTTCGGTTCATGAGTTGGAGCCCCGCGTCAGGCTCTCTGCTGTTAATTCTGAGCCCAGTTCAGATCCTCTGTCTCCCCCTCTCCCTGCTCCTCCCCCGCTCTCGTCCTCGCTCACTTTGTCTCTCTCTCTCTTCCTCAAAAATAAACATTAAAAAAGCAAAGGCACAGTGGTGCAGTCTGGCAGCCAGCGTTTCAACCACATGGTCCAATCTAACTTTACCAGTACTGGCCCAACCTGGTCTGTGGGCTTCCGAGGTGATGCAGTCAAGTAAAGCACAGTATCACCTATGTGATATTTGTGCCAGATGGTTTCAGCTGAATCTAGTAATGAGAGAATAGCAAATCCCAAAATGTGGGACATTCTTTAAAAACAGCTGGCCAAAGGGAGGCTAGGAAGAGTTAACATCAAATGTAACAGGTGAAGCTTGGTTAGATCAGGGATCAAAAAAATAAAAAAATCTGTAAAAGTCATAGTGGGATAACTGTACACTTTTGAATATGAACCACACGTTAGATATTATTGGACTAAATGTGACTCTTCCTTGTGATGATGGTGCTTATGGTTATATAGTCAAACCATTTCTTCGACTGTGTGTAGCTTTGAACATTGTCTGAAGAAAAAGTTTGGGGGTAAAAGCTCCTAACCCAAACGACCCAGCTGGATCCCTGTTGTTGACTAAGTTGAGTGGGGTGCTGTGCTGCTGGGGGGTGTCCCCTTCTGCCCTCTCTGCTGCCCTGACTGTTCTTTTAGAGAACTGGCCCTGAGCTGTGATCAGGAGCTTATGGGCTGCTCAGCGCACGAGGAATCGGAGGGAGCCCTTTTAGTGTTGCTGTTGTTTTTAAATTTTTTTAGTGTTTATTTTTGAGAGAGAGAGCATGCGTGCATGCGCAAGTTGGGGAGAGGCAGGGAGAGAGGGAGACACAGAATTTGAAACAGCCTCCAGGCTCTGAGTTGTCAGCACTGGTAGAGCCTGATGTGGGGCTCAAACTCACGAACCGTGAGGTTGTGACCTGAGCCGGAACCAGACACTTCACCAACTGAGCCACCCAGATGACCCAAAGGAGCACTTTTTGAGGGGGTGGCCTAAGCTGGAGAGAGTGACAGGACAAGGGCCACAGTGGCTGCCCATATGCATGGCACGGGAGGTGGGAGATTTGGTCTGTTGGAGTTAGATCTGAGCCGCATGCCTGGGCAGATGTTGATGAAGGGCACTGACCCTGGTGCTATGAGCCCTTGGAGGGTGCGTCCCCACTAAGAGGAATCAAGCATTCCCAAGGATGGAAGGCATGTGTTCTATGTCAAGCGGGAGTTGGTAACCAAGTCGTGTACTTCGATCAGCCCCTTTGTCTTAGACAGTGCTTTTCAAACTTTTCAGAGCAATAGGTCTCTTTTTTATTTTTGTTTTTTTTAAATGAAAATAAATGTTATTCTGGGCCCTCATGTATAAATCAGGCAAAAGTGTTGCTAGTGGGGGCCAGGGTCCCTCCGGTTCTCCCCGGCTCCTCCTGTGGGTACGTGAGAACCTCAGGGCTGCGAGGAGCACAGGGCAGAAGCTGTGAAGACAGCATGTGCTGTGAGCCCTCTCACACTGGGTGGGCCCGGTATGCAGCCTAAGTGCCCGTCTGCAATGCATTGGTGACTCACTGCAGAAGAGCTGGCGTGGACAGGGAGATGGTAGGGCCGGCTGCTTCCCCAGGACTGAAGTCCTTGGGTGGTGGTTGCACTCGAAGGTACGGGTGGTAACTGTGAGGCTGTTCTGAGTGGTTCCGTCACCATGTTCTGGCCAGATTCCTGGGCTTGAGTCGCTGGGAGCCAGAGGCCAGGCACGAGCGAGAAGGCCCTGAAAGGGACTGCCTGCTCTCATGTGCCATCAGCATTGTTGCCCCTCCCTGGGACACCATAACCCTCCAAGAACTCTGGATGACCTTCCCTGGTGAGATGACTTGGGTTCCTTGGAGGGGCCCGTGGTGTGCAAAGGTGGGGGGATTGGAGCTCGCTCAGGTATGGAAGCGGAAAGATACCAAAGGCCTGATGGGCTTCTGATGAAGCGACACTGCTCAGAGAATATCCAGGACCCTGTTAGAGCTGTAGCTGCCTGAGGGCAGGCCTGGGCCTTATTCTTTGACACAGTCATGGAAGGTGCTGAGTGTATTTTCAGGGCCTGGGATTCCATGGGGCAGCTGGCCACACATAGTTGCCCCTGCCATTTGGGCCATTCTGTGCACTCTTCCTGAAATCACTGGAGAGGAATCACTCACTCACAGAGGCAGGGTATGGCAGATGGTATATTTTCCCCAGCTTCGTGATGGTGTGTTTGGAGACTTCTGGTAGCATTCACAGCAGAGGCAGTGTCTTTCTTTGGAGTTCTGGGTTCCTGGGGCGTATGCGAGAGGCTTCCTGCCCTGTGGCAGACCATTCCTGCCTGCTGCTTTTAATCCTTCTCTTATAGAAGGTACCTACTGCCCCGAGACTGCCTTTTGCAGGCCACAATTGAGCTCCCAAACACTTATTTCTCTGCTACTTGGTTTACTTACCCTGAAAGGAAGCACAGTAAGGCCTGGTTGCAAAGAGTAACTGAGCTAATATATGGGAGTGACCGCCACAGTGCCCTGTAATACTGATTACAGAGGCAGTGACTCAATGCCAAATCTCAGCTCTTGGAATGCCAAGCCCAGTCCTTTCTTTGCTTTTCTCCCTCAGACCCTCCGGGAGTCATGCCCCTTCCTGCAACTGTCTGTCCGGCATCTTCCTCTTAGGCTGTGCCTGCAGCATCTTTGTTTGCTGTCCTTAGGTTCTTCTCCATAAATCTGAGCATCCATCTGCCATATCCTCAGGCCTGGTCTCCTCTCTCGGCAGACTTGACCTCAGAGAACTCATGCTCTCACGGCACTGAGCTTTCTGGGGAGTTGCTCACCCTACCCGTCAGCTCTTGGCCATGCCAGTTTTCTGTGTTCTCCACATGGTGGTATTTTTTAGAATACAGATATTTAATCACCACATTACCATTATTTTGGTA